TGCACCTCGATCTAGTGTGCTTCTCTGTTCTTTTTTATAATTTGCCGGTAGCTTCATGTTAATCCACCTCCATAGCCTTGCCAGAGGCTCCTTAGTGTAGGATCTTCTTATGGTTTTTCTTCTCCTAGTTGCAAGAATCTGCACCTACATAGACCTTCACAAAACCGTTGAATGTGTTCTGCGGTCTCCTCTTCTTTCAGGCAGTATCTACATAGTGTTTTTTCGGTCTATACTGCATGAACTTCTTAGGCACTGCACTGTCTTCAATAATTCCTTTTTAAGTTTTGCGGATGAAACTCTTCGCGTGCATTATGCCTGGTGTATTGTCCCATCAGGTCTTGCACTCATTAAATGTCCATTCGTTCGGGGCCAAGAGAATTCATATTGGCTCCTTTTTTTGCCAACATGTCCACTTTCTCATTGCCACTATGTCCCGAATGCCCAGATCCTTGCCAAGTCAGGCCATGTCACTAGAGTTACTGACTTCTGCTAGGGCTTTTATATGATTCCATACAAATTTTGCCTTTACCATGCATGAGGCTAAGCTTAACTGCCATTTGATTGTCAGAGAAGAAGGGTATTTTCCGGGAATGTGTTCCTAGCCTTTTTATTTTTCTGGCGCAGCGTTCCATTGCTATAATTTCACATTGAAAAATTGCAGCATATTCACCTAAGTTTAGCACAGAGCCTTCTGCCCCCCCCCAAGCAATTTTGGCTCTCTGAATAGTTTTGATTAGATGTGAATTCCGTGTAAGCTGTTGGCTTAGTGGGAGCCTTACATATTTGGTTCCTTGGAGAATGGAATCGGTGTCCCGTTTAGGTTTAGAAGTTTTAGGCTTCTCATCGCCCCCTTCCTTCTGTACGGAATCATTAAGGTTTTGTGGGGGTTAATAGACAGCTCCTCCCTCTGCGCCACCAGTATACCATGTTGAGAGTTCGTTGTACACTGTCTATCACATGTTCATGGCAGCTTTTATCACTACGTCGTCCGTATCATATGCAGCAGAATCCTTCTTGTTCCATTATGTGTAGGAATTTACCAGCGTTGTCCACGGTAGGTGTGAAAGACCCCCCCCCCCCTTTGAGGGAATCTTCTGGGCTAGTCCTTAGGTTCTTCACCACCCATTGGCACACCTTTTCCGAAACTCCCTTGTTTTAATTGCTTTAAATAAAGACGATGTAGTTGCGTTGTTGAATGCCCCCTCTATATCCATGAAGAATGTCACTGCTGTCTCCTAGGAGATAGCGCTTGTCATTTATTAACTTGGTTGTGTGTTTAGGTCGTCCACGGCTAGCTGTGTGGATTTTCCAGGGGCTTGTTGCTCAGTGCTTCTCTATCAGTTTTTCTAAAGCACGTAAGGATGGTAGGTCTGTACGAGTTGGACTTGTAGTGGTAAAACGTCATACTTTTGTTATGTACACCACTGTATCTCTTGCCAGTCAGTCCTTCGGAATATAGCTAGGCAGGCTAAGAATATTCTAACTAAATATATCATGAGAATTTCTGGACCTTTTGGTAGTAGTGCTGGGTAGATTCTGCCCACTCTTGGCGCCTTATATGGGCGAAACATCTCCAGTACCTAGCTTATGGCTTTCGGTTCTACTAGGTTTGCACCTCCTCCCACTCTTCTTGTGTAGATCTTGTTGGTGTTGAGTGTTTAATTACCAACTACTACTCGAGATTCTTTGAAGCCCACCACGTTGGAAAAATGAGAACTTCATAATCAAAATCAAACTACGTTCGAAAGATATGGAATTCCACAACTCGTCTACTCAGAGAGTCGGACACTATTCCACAATTCAAGCGAATGGTGCCGCGGAGGCGGTCGTTAAGGTCGAGAAAACCCAAATTAAAAAGAACAGACCCAAGAAGGACGAAGCGTCAGCTTTCTGGATATAACGTATCGGCAACGGTTTCAGCCCAGCCGAAATTTTGCACGGTAGGAAATGAAAGACGAAATTTCATCCATTCGTCGAATTGAGGTTACACCTCCAGAGAAGTTAGCTAAAGCTGCAGAAAAATACATAGAGCAATAAAAAAGAAAAAAATATGACAATCTACATGGAAGTAGATACCCAAGCCAGCAACATTGCAGTGGATTTGTGAGTACCACAGGTTACAGGTTACATGCTACGGAAAGATCGTTAAGCCGATGAACCAATGGTCGTTATCATGGGCAGACACCAATGAGCACAAGAAATCGCTTCAGTCTAATTTCTGTACCATACCTCAACAAAAACCCAGAGCTACAGAAACGTCGGAGGGAACCGAAACTAAAATAATCTGTACCGGACCCGCGTTGTTTACTGATGCCTACCAGCGCTCGATCAGCCAGCACAGAATTCTACACCTGCAAAACAATCCACAATCGTCAAAAAAAGTGCAAACGTGGCGGGATATACAGATATAAGGCCGGACGACTACACTTCCGGGAGAACCATAGTTTTTATCGTATGTTAAACTCCTACTAAAACGAGATTGACGATTACACAGTTGCTACCTACCTGATACTATCTTCAGGGAAGATACTGTATACGCTATGGAGTGCAATAACATTCGTAACCCTGTAATAGAAGTTACGGAAAGAATATTGGCTTTATCCATGGATTATTTTTATTGATACAAATACAAACCGCATGTAGTAAGCTCAAAAATTTAAAAGAAGACTTTTTCTACTGGCATTAGTGTTAATTTCGTAGAATGTATACATACATAAATATATTTTGTTGTTTAAATAAACTACTGTATGTCTATAATGATTAAAATATATTACAACCAGTTAGACTATACTCGACTACCTTTCAAATGTCATGATCAAGAGATCAAAATTCGAATGCACCTCAAATTAGTATTAAAAAAATCGAAGGGCAGAATTGAATAACAGGAATACAAGATGAACAACTACTTAAAGATCTTGTTTATTAATCCATTTATGTTTTGAAAATGGCAAAAAGAGGGAAAATTCGAACGGCTTAGGTTGGAGAGTTGTGTACAAGAGGATCGAAGTCGCGATAGCTCAAGTGGTAGAGCAGCAGCTTATTTAGCCAAAAGTCGTCGGTTCGAATCCCTCTCGTGACACTGACTTTTTTATCTCAACCAAGACCATACATAGAAAGAATAATTAATTGAAAGATCTCGTTAAATATTGAATCTGCATCGTTGTATACTAGAAGTTGATGTGATTAATGTGCGGCACGATCCCTCAACTTGACTCCGCTTGATTTCTGCTTGTAAGGAACCATCATAGCTTATTCAAGAATCATTGAAACTCGATAAATCTAATAAACAGAATTGTCAGCGTCGTTAATTATATCTTAACTATTAAGAAAAAGTCATATCGCCGTCAGACAAGAGCTTTGGTTACCACAAGGTGTGAACACGTTTTTTTTTCTGTTGGTAAAAATTTATTTTACACGTGAGCCTTGAGGAGAGTAAAAACATAAATTTTTAATATGAAGAATGGGTTGTTTATGTTGAAGGCTGTTTATCTCAGCAAGTATCAAATCTGGCAAGTACATTAAAGAAAATTCAATTGCCTACTACATGTAGAAAAAATGTTTATTGTCAAAAATTAAACGATCCGTTTTTGACCGTGTAAACTCAACATCACTTCAACTTAAGTAAGCTCACTAAGTTTTAACTGAACCTTTGGGGGGAGGGACTGCGCTGAACAATATAAATATATATATTATTCTGGTTCGTCTGTTTTTTTTTTAATAAATATTTTTTATTTTATAATGTCATATTTTCACGTGACCTACACGAAAAAAAATGGACTGACGAAAGTTACTAAGCTCAGACCCAACCACATCAGATGCCGTTAAGGTGAAAAGTCGTTATTTTTGTAAGAGAACAAAAAAAGCATTAATTATTTTTATAAATTTTCAATTTAGAATGTATTGCAACTTCTTTAAGGGTAAGAAAATGTTTTTTGTAAAATTTTTTTTACTTTTATGACCTGTCATTTTTCTTCCAACCATGCAGGGTTATGCCATATGAAAAGCAGATTAATATAATTAAGTTTAAGATTATTCGGAGATCGTGAGGTGCGGTCTGGTGCTACGTAGGTTTTAGAAAAACATTTTTTTTAATAGTGCCAACGTTTCGATCTTTAATGAGATCATATTCAGGGCTCATAGTGTTTGTTTTCCGTGTAGATGTGTCATTCTTGTGTGTCGTGTTGAGTGTGCCCAAGACACACAAGAATGACACAATTACGCAGAAAACAAACACTTTGAGCCCTGAAGATGATCTCAATAAAGGTCGAAACGTTGGCACGATAAAGAAAACACCTCACGATCTGCGAATAATCATCGACTAACGGTCACTAATCACCACACATAATTAAGTTTCTTAAATACTTACTTCCTTTAAGTACTTTAAAAAGTCATTTTATAGCTGGATTTGATTAGTTTCCTAAGAGTCTGATCTTTATGTCCTTTAATTTTTGCAACATTCCATTTCGAGTAAAGACAGTGGACGGACGGTTAAAATTTGCTCAGAATATGTTTTATCTTTTATTACTATAAAGAATAGGTAAAACTGTCATAACAGCGAATTTGTGTCAACATTTCCGAAGTAGTTTATGAACGATTTTTTTTTTGTAATGAGGGTTCGCAACAGCAGAGGCTATATCAACCCTCGGGGTGCCGGTATTTTTGAAAAAGAGCCTATCTGTAAGTATCGGGTTCGAATGCAGGGCCGCTGGATTCGAACCCGGGACCTTTACCTTACAGTGATGCGTGCCGTGTCAACGCCTAAACCGTTGCGTCCCCCGACGCCCCTTGTTTTTATTGTTAATTAATTTTTAAATATAATTGGAACTGTAATTTTACCAATGACTGAATACTATATCCAGTAAGAACTTAAAATAATGCGAGTAGTGATAAGTCAGAAAGAGTAAACTGTTTTCTTAAATAAAAATATTGTAATAATTATTTCTTATCATTATTTTTTAATTGTATTTGTTATTTTAATGTGTTATTTCGTTTATGTTTAGGCATGATACCCCATTGGCTGCAGTACATAGCTGTATTATGGGCTTCTTCACAGGTATTGAAACATATTTATTCCCTTTTGCTCTTCCCTTAGCTTATTTTTAAAAAAAATATTTTTCTTATATTTCTTTCTCTGTTTTATCAAAGCCGGGTACTGCAATATTTTGAGGAAGCATTGAATATATTACACTGCTCACCTCTCATTCCCTTGGGTCTGTTGTGCCTATATTGCTTAAAATGTTTACTTGTCTTTTGGTGAATAATAATGTCATCTTCTTGCAGGGTATGACAATACTTCTCAAGTGGCCAATTTAATATTCTACACCTAATCATGTTGTTTCTGAGAAAATTATTAATTTCTCGGGTTGCCTGTGTTTACTATTACCCCATATCATTCATGATTATGGGAAAAAATGAAACACCTGAATTTAAAAGTTAACAGTCATTTTTTATAATCATGAGAAGTGAATATAGTGCTATGCTGAATTTCTTTAGCTGCTCAAAACTTATTTAGATTGCTACACAGAATTTATTTGAATAATTTATTTTCAATAAGTTAATGACAATAAACAATTTTAAATATGTAGTAGATTTTGTTGATATGTCCTTCCATCTTTCATATAGTTTCACCTGAACTTAGGAAATTTTTGATTTAAAAATTATTTTTTATTACATTGTCCATAAAATTTAACATACAATGATTATAAATTATTTTAATTGATATGAGTAAATGGTAATAAAAATATTAAAGTTGAGCTAATAAGCCAAATGCAACAATTTTTAGTGTATAATAAGATGAAAACACTACTCTCTAATGATGCACTTTTCCTTTTTTCTTCATGGCGTTGTGCACAATATTTGTCGAATCAGGATTTTTTTTAGGTCTGTTGGTTTATTTGATCTGTAAAACATGATTTAGTAATTTTTCAGTATTGATTTTGTGTAGGCATAAGTCTGTCCTTTTTTCTTGGGTTTATAAATTGGCGAAACATCTGACATACCAACCAGCATCGGCAGACAGACGAAGCTGATCGTGAACAACCGAACCTACAGTATTTATTGAGTTTGGTGATCAAATCTAATTTGCTTAAAGAGAGATCTTTTGAATTTGAAAAATACTTACACGTTACATTCCTGTTTTTATACACTGGCAACCCGCACTAGTCTATGATATGCTGAGCATAAATCTTCCATATACAGAAGTTTATGACATAATTAAACACATGATTTTTTATTTTTGTGTCGAGTTAATTTTAAACCCTTCAATAATAAAAGAATGTACATGGATAAACAAATTATGACACACTCTCAACCCCCCCCCCCCAAAAAAAAAAAAAAAAAAAAAAAAAAAAAAAAAAAAAAAAAAAAAAAAAAAAAAAAACTGTGCTTTTTGTTTTAATGAACAATGAAAGTAATACAGCTTTGAGTTCCTCAATCACATGTGAAGCCAAAACACATTTGAGTGAAATTTAAACCTGTAAGAGTAGACAGACCCAGTGGACTGATTGAGGGTTTATCAGTTTAACATGCGCTCTCTGACTCATTCACCAACATATATAATTGTATATAACTTTATTTTAAAGCACTTTTCATAAAATGGCATTAATGATATGCCAGTATATTGGTGGACCCAAAATATTACCAAATATAGTAAAATAATTAATGAGAAAATTAGTTAGTAGGCAGTTTGTACAGGTTATAATTTTATCCTCTTATAGTCGTGTTTTAAGGATTGTTTGTGATTTTGTATGAAATTTAAAATTCATGTTTTATTTCTGTGCTTGAAAATCAAGAGTATATGTATAGATAGGAAAGTTGATTTACTGCTTTGTCGAAAACCAATATATTTTTGGGTGGTCTTCTACTCAAAAACATATTACTTATTGTGAGACTGTTTTCATTTACTTTTGAATTTCTAGATATTCCAGGAAACAGGAGTTCATGGACATGGTAGACTGATGGACCCACCAGCTCGGAACAGTATGTGGAGGTTTGGTTTTCCAACACCAGTGAACTACAATGACAATGAGCTCTATTGTGGTGGTTACGCAGGTTCAGAAAACAATTTACTTTCATTTAACCTAATTTAAATAACAATTGAATACGTTTAAGAAAAAAGTTACTAAATTGCATATTTGAATGACTGTGTATTTGTTGATCAAAGCATAGATTTGTGTTTAATTATAGATAAAATTATACAGAAAACATTTTATAAACTATTTTTTAAATAAGCCAATTGGGGGTGCCAAAATATTTTTCTCACCAGCTTCTTAAAACATTTTTACCAACCAACTTTTCATTCCAGTGCAGTGGGAGCAGAATCAGGGGAAGTGTGGAATTTGTGGAGATGCTTACAGCATTTCCGACCCACGTCCACATGAAGCTGGTGGACAATTTGCCAAAGGCATAATTGGAAGGAGATACAGCTCTGGACAGGCAAGCTTTAATAATAATTTTCAACAAACTAATCACCGTTTTTTTATTAAATATATTGTTATTCTTAAATGTTCTTAGTTTGAAGATATTTTGATTCTAATTAATTTTTAATTTATTTTATTTTATCACTACTACAGGAAATAGACGTAGAAGTGGAACTCACTGCAAATCACTGGGGGAGATTTGAAATGTTCCTTTGCCCAAATAACAATCCAAATTATGAGGCAACACAAGAATGTTTTGACAGGTATGGCAAACAAATTGTATATGCACTTTAAACATGTTATGTTACCACATTATAAAGCAATTTTTTGAATGGCGAATTTTAATTTTAATTTTTCAGGTATCCATTATATATATCAGGAACAAGAGATGTCAGATTCTTAATTCCAGGAGAGGCGAAAAAGAAAGCTGTATTCAGATACAAAGTTAGGCTTCCTCCATATGTTACTTGCACTCAATGTGTGCTTCAATGGACATATTACACCGGTGTGGTGATAATTTTCATATGCCTGCAGCTTCTTGAAATACTGTTTGTTATAATTTTACCACAATTTTAGGAAACATGTGGGGCATATGTGATAACGGTACTGAAGCTGTTGGCTGCGGTAAGCCCGAAACCTTTAGAAACTGTGCTGATATTAGCATAGTGACTAGCACATCTGGTTTGCCACCTTCATTTATAGAATTGCAGAATCCATTTTTGTTGTATTTCAGGGATTTCAGATCACAAAATTTAATAACACCTTTAGTCATAAGGTATTAATGCAGAATATTTTTTTTTTAAATTCATCAGCATAATTAATGTTACAAATCTGAAATTTTAAGGGCCCAAGTTTGTATTCCTAGAGGAAGGTACAAATATTTACCTGGCATGTCAGAATGGTGCCAAACTAATTGTTTAAAGTATCCGCCACATTGTCCTGCTGAATTGTGCCATTGCCCGTAAGTTTATTATACGACCATTTACAAAATAACATATAGTTAATATAAATGCACAAATTTGACAAAGAGTACAAAAATAACTTAAAAGTTGACTTAAAAGATGAAATCGAAAATTAGGATTTTGGATTCACTGTTGTAGAGATTATTGCATTGTTCATCACAATAGTGACTCAATAATAAAATACAGAAATGATAATGATGATTCTATATGATTCAAATATAACACTTTTTGGGTGATATAGTGTTAGCAATAACAAATTATGATGGATATTGAATTTGAATAGACATAAAAAAAAGCATGAGTGAGGCTTAATATTGAAAACCTTCAAAATTCCTGTCCAAAATTAAATATAGATTGCAGTGTTGTTTCAAAATCGTGAAAGGTTGCATTTTTTCACTTCATTTGAGTTTTAATATTTGCTTTCATACAAAAGTTTTGTTCGTCAGCAGTGGTACAAGTCTCAAAACTGCCACCTGTAGAGTAGTGCAACTAAACATATCAATATTTTGTAATTGAGGTTTCTTCCTTTTCTTTGCAGATTTTTATTTATAATTCATTTACATCCATCTTTTATGATATATTGCGCAAGTGATTGCCACCCTTATCTTTAGTTCTAAAAATGCCTTTCATATTTTCCATTACAATTTGACGAAGAATTTGGCTTCTGTCAATCGGACAACAGCATCATCACTGGCAAAGACTCTTACAATAATTATCTAAAGGGGCGTCGGTGGCTGCAACGGTTTAGGCGTTGACATGGCGCTCATCACTGTAAGGTAAAAGGTCCTGGGTTCGAATCCAGCAGCCCTGCATTCAAACCCGACATACTTACAAATGGGCTTTTTTTCAAAAACACCGGCACCCCGAGGGTTTATATGACCTCTGCTGTTGCGAACCCTCGTAAAATAAAAAATAAAAAAATAAATAAAAAAATAATTATCTAAAGAAACGTTTCTGAATCCTTCTAATTGACAACAACACAAATGTTTTGTAGCATTTTAACAAAAATTGATTTTGTGAAGTGCTTAAAATAATATAATAAACGATACATTATCAAACCTGTCAAAGTCTCAAAAGTAAAGACAACTGTGCTAAGTCTAAAAACCTCTTGAATCAATGGAACATCAACAAAATTTTTGTCATCAGTTAGATCCTTGATCCTCCTTGCTATATGTTTCACCAGGTTAGGATTTTTTGCATCATTATGTGATCATGGAGAAATAATGAAACATCAAACAAAAAATGACTCAGAATATAAAGGGGTGGTAATTAAACAAACAAATAGACTAATGCATCTTCCTAAAGATCTTAGCCAAATTTGGTCAAACTAAAATGAAAATCTTAGATAAATCAATCAAAAATCAACATTTGGGATGGCTACAATCGAAATAAACAGTTTTCAAAATTAGCATACCCAAGCTGGTGAAATCCATATTATGAATAAACATTAAGTACATGCAAAATAATTGTAAAATGAATTGTAATTGTACTTGTCCACATACTCACATTTAATTTGTTTTTCATTAATAAGACAGATAAATAAATATACTAAATTAGGTAATTTTTTCCCCGATTTAAGAATGTGTGGAGTCAAGGAATAATTAGTTAGTTGTGCTTGTGTTACACAGAGGGGAGACACAAACCAAAGAATTATGCTAGAATTAATAACATACACTAACTTCAACGTTAGACAAGGGAAGGCGAAAAAAAAACAACAATTAATTCCATTCAATTGCTATTTCTTTAAATACCAGTTTTTATGTTTAGATAAACAGTTATAAATTATTTTTTATTTTGCAGGCAAGAATGTGATGCTATAGGTGAACTTAAAGGAAGGTCAGGAGCGGATGTTTACTGCCAAGACCAGTGCATTATCTATCCTTCAAAATGTCCAGAAAACCGGTGCAGATGTTATTAATCCTTTGCATTTCAATTGCCCGACTTCACATTTTTTCAACATGTATGATTAAAGAACAAAAATTATATTGCAACATTGCTGCAATTTCTGTTGGCATAAAACTGTAATATATTGAACAACCGTGCTGTGCCAAGGAAATGGTCTAGATCTGAATTGTTTAATCTGATCCCATTTGTGTGCTTTCATTAAAATTAAAATTTTGTAATTATTTTGACAGTAAAAAAATATACAAATATATACATATGTGTGTTGTGTGTGTTTTAGCGATTGGTTTCTCAATAATTGATTGAAGTGGTGAGGAGCGGCCAGGAATGAAATATTTTAGAAAAAAACGATTTTCATTTTTTTGCCGATGTTTCATCACGGTCTTCATTCGGGTCATCTTCTGACCCTGGGTGAATTACAAAACATATGTTCATTGAAAAAATACAATTTAAGATATAAATATAAATTTTGAATCAAGCATTCACATAAAGTGTGGTGCTATTCTTCTTGTGTCGTATTTGTTTCGTGTGAAATTGAAGTGAAACGTAAATTTGTATTCTGCTGTTTTTATATGATTGTGACAGGTTCGGGGACGGGGCAAGTCTGAAAAATTTACTTTCATCAAAGGCGGTTTTATTTAACTAAAAGGAAGTCGAGAATGGGAATTTTTTGGATTGGATTTGTGATTCGGTGTTTATTGAATATTGGAAAGGAAGTTAATTATGATGGACGAAACGAAGGAAAGGGAAATATAAAAATAAAGTTTAATCTTTCAATTAATTATTCTTTCTATGTAAGGTTTTGGTTGAGATAAAAAAGTCAGCATCACGAGCAGGATTCGAACCCACGACCTTCGGCTAAATACGCCGCTACTCTACTACTTGACCTATCGTGACTTCGATCCTCTCGGACATCCATCTCAACCTACAACCGTTCGAATTTTCCCTCTTTTTGTCACTTTCAACAAGTGGGCTTACAAATGGGCTTTTTTAAAAAACACCGGCACCCTGATGGTTTTATATGACCTCGGCTGTTGCGAACCCTCGTAAAGAAAAAAACAATCATTATTTATTGTTTATTTTAACTATGATAGCTCTTGTAGCTACCTAAACCTAGCTTCCAAACCATCAGTACAGTTTAAAAACTATTTACCAAGAATTAAGTATGAACTAAACACTGTTTGTGAACTGTTTTTAAGCTATAGCGGTCCGATGCCATAATTATCGGGTCCAGGCAATTCCTCAATTCCCTCCTCAGCATCCCACCTCTCATGCTAAATAACCATCCCATCCCCTTCTGCTCTTCGGTTAAAAACCTAGGAGTAGTCTTTGACCAAAACCTTTCCTGGCATTCTCACATTTCCCAAATTTCCCGCCATTCCATTGCCTCCTTCAGCCTGTTTTGTCGGTCCTGGCTTCTCTTACCTTTCTCCACCTGCAAACTCCTTGTATCTTCCCTTATACTTCCCTTCTTCGATTATAGCTGTTTGGCATACGGTGGTCTCTCGGAGGGGGAGAACGCGCGATTGAAGCGTATTTTGAATTGTTGCGTAAGATTTGTGTACGGCACCCAAGGGGATCCCGGGTGTCGGGGTTGTATTCCTAACTTTCCTGGCTATTACCCTCCTTCCGTGCACAGTATTTCCTAGGTTGCTTTCTTTTCCAGTCCATCCACACTCGTCGTCCTCCTTACATCATCCAATCCCTCCAATTCAACTCCTCACATCTCACTCGTAAGACCCGCTCATCCCCAATCGACCTTATCCTTCCGCAACATACAACCCATACCTTCGAAAGATCCTTTCTGATCCGAGCCCTAAACTCTGGAACTTCCTTCCCCTTTCTATTCGTCACGATGCCTCCTTTTCCTCCTTTAAATCCCACCTGTATAATCACCTCCCCTCCCTCCAAGCAGAGACCTCACGTTAACATTTGTTATTTTTGTTTAATATTCTCGTAATTTTTTCTTCTGTCCTGCCTTATTGGTATACATTGTGCCAAGATTTCTATTTTTTTTTTACTTTTAACTTCATAGAAGGAACTTCCTTTATTTATTTCATGTAAATTATTCTTAGGGGACACCAGTCCCAGAATAAAGTTATTTTTCTTCTTCTTCTTCTTCTAGTGTTAACATATCTATAGGTTCGTGTTGTTGAAGTTTATTATCCACTACATTATGTAAATACTATATAACCTCCGATGGAAACACCGACGCTAAGCGCTCCTCGCAGGAAGTGTGTAAAAGGAAAAATAAAAAAGACCATCCCTAAGAAAGGTTGGTCACTTCAGTGTAGTACAGTTGTTTATCCTCGTTCGGTTGGTTTTCAGGATTTTTTTACCAACTCTGCTAGCTGCCTTAAAACCTCATACTCTAGGCGTGGAATTGCGTCTTGGAACTTGCGTTTTAAAGTGGTAATTCTCCCTGAAGCAAATACGGCATCGCAATGTAAAAACCATAACTCCGGGTCCTGTTTCCAGCAACTCGGGAGACGGTCTGCCAAACTGGGCACAACAGCGGCTAAAGAAGCCTCATCAGATTCCTGGTTGATTAGTTTTTGTTCTTCTTAACTCATTTCCAATTAAGTAAAATTTGTGCAGACGTTACATAAAATTTTATAAATAATCAACAAAAATATACAAACGTAATAACATACAGAAGAACAAAAAAAATAATTAAGAAAAATGAAGGAAACATTTTTATACAAAAATTACAAAATAAAAAAATGTTACTAAAGAAAGAATTAAATATACTCCTATACAATAAAGGATATGTTTATTAAAGAATCAATATGACAATTAAACAGAAATCACGTCGGAGACACCAATTATTGCGTCTTTTTATTAAGTCGTTCTAGATTCAAGATTATGATGATTAAGATTAAAACACTAAATGAATAACGCAATGACATTCTTTATTACATAGCGTTTACAAAATGTTATACAAAAATGATCATGAGCACAATTAACATTTGGAATGGATGTTGCAACATCGGTACCTTGGGGTGTAGACGAACTTCTTAATACTCAACCAAATAGGACAAACGACTGTAGTACACTAAAGTGACCAACCTTTCTTAGGGATGGCCTTTTTTATTTTTCCTTTTACATACTTCCTGCGAGGAGCGCTTAGCGTCGGGGTTTCCACCGGACCGCTATAAAGCTATAGCAAAAATTTTAGTCAATCAAAAAGGCTAGAAAATTTGTAGCTAATGAGGGAATTTATTTTCAATCATTTATTTTTTAGGTAGGTAGAACACGGTCAAATTACAGGATGAACACCTCGCAGACGTGTTCATATATTATTCAATAATTATGGATCATAGAAGAGAGAAAAGAAGCGATTTTGAATTGGATTTGACACACTTAAAGATTAAATAAAAAACAGACGAGTTGCCTATTTTTTAAAGGGCAATTATAACAAAAAGTGATAAAAAATTGTGGCCGTGTTGAATCAGAGATCTGTAACGATGTTTTCTTATATTTTGACCTCAACAGTTAATCTTATGATTCTTCCTTCTTGAAGGTGGGATAATAAGTCATCTCAAAAAAACCACAACCAGTTTTTATCCACAACGTTTCGGATTTATTTGAATCCTTCCTCAGGTGAGTTAACGCCTGTACACAGAACAAATATTTTTTACATTTTTATGTCAACATGGTTATCATTGTTTCTTCACTACTTACAATGGTTAAAAAAGTGGTCGTCAGTCATTAATATTTTATAACAATTTATTTTACCACTGATTATCAGAGATCTGTGCCCAGGAGAATGTTTTAAGTTTGAGTTTAAGTTTGGAATCAGCTGAAGTAGTCGAGCTTGCTGAAATGTGAATCTAGATTTACCCGTGTTCCAGATTAAGACATAACATATATCATTCTCTAACTAATCAGAAGGAATAGCAGAGAAGGAGGGGGTCGTGGGCATTAATTTGCAACACATAGATCACAGGATTATCAGAGAATAATCTAGGGCATATTAGACAGCAACTCTATAGTTTATCCAATATCTCTCTCCGCCTGCTAAAATATACACTTCCAGTTGCAAGTTGAGCCGATAGCAGCTGTCTCTTGGTGATTTATTGTTAATTACTTTATACACTCAGTCATAACAAAGGAGCAATTATTACAGTAAATCATGGACACCCCTCGGTGTCTGTCTTGCCTTGGGTGATAACCCAACCCTTCTCAACGTAAAATTGTTCACTCGATAAACGGTTTTCATTAAACTCCCCGGCCCGAATCAATCCACCTGGATTCTCGAGCAGTTTCTCTCGATTCTAACTTGCTACATTTCAGTTTTCACAATTCACCAGACTGATTATCTCTTCAAGAACGGATTAAGAAATAATAAAAAACGATTTTTTTACTTAATCGTTGTTGTTTTATTATGGACTAACTTATTTTAACATTCCGTTTAAACAGTTTAAACATCTTTGGTCTATGATCCCTTGTAAACATTTTCACAGTAATGTTAATTTTAATACTATCGACTCAGAGCAATAATTTATTCAAAATTGATTTTGAATACTTCATTTTTTTTGTAAAAAATAATTCTTGTTATAAGGTGGGAGGTATTAACTCCAACTACCCGATAGGTGTCGCGGATGTCGAGTTTTACGTTTTTTTAAATATTATTTTCAATTAAAATCCATGAGTGGTTAGTGTGGCAAACACGAGTGCGAATAATATAATAGACACTAATTTTTTTGTAATATTGTTTAAAACATTTTTGAATTATTATTTATTTTTCATTAAAAGAGTAGTAGCTGGAATGGCGCTGGCGTAATCAAAGATGGGGTCGGAAGGGTACTGGGCCGGTGATTTGTGTCAACGTTAACTCAGGACGAAGTAACCTTAATTAAAATCAACTTTTTGTTTCTCATTAAAAGTGCAACATCTTGTTCTTATTAGGTTATTAAAAAAGAGGGCTGTTAGATTGTAAGAATTTTTCTTTATTCACCTGCAAGTGATCACAAGCGTACAACATGCAATGCGGAAAAAGCGTTAACTGTTGTTCATAAAAATTTGATTTTTTTTTCAAGTTTTTAGAATTCTCCTCGTTCCTCATAGCATTTCTTCCCTGATGAAATAAAATATTTGAGAAGAAATCTTTTCTATTTTACCATGCCAACGAAAATAGTGGACGGAAAATTACTGATGATTAGTATGTTTCCCATTTGGGGTCGCAATGTCATCAGAAGGACAATGAGGCATAACTTAAGCA